GGAAATGGCTTTCTTAATTGTGCCTATGTGCAGCTGCAGGGTTTGTGGTCACATGTCCAGCAACACACCTGATTGGTTAGGTCACCTGGCTAGTAATACGTTTGATTGGTCAACTAGACTCAGGCCAACCTGCTGGCAGTTTAGCATAAAGGCAGAACATTCATTCTACTTTTGCACCTCTCTAGTTTGGACACCTCTTGGTTCTTTATGACTTTGAGCCAGGTTGGGCCTTGTATGGCCGAAAGACCTGTCTTTTGAACTTTGAAACTTTGCTTGGATTCTGTGTCTTAGTTGGACCTGATAACTTATGGATTAGAGAACAAAAGCTTGTATATATTTAGATGTTATTATTTTTGCCTTGCTCTTCACTTCTGTTATATTTATATATTCCTGCACATTTCTCTTAATATACATTATTAATATATTATGGTGTTCTTAGGATTTTGGAGTACCTTGGCCTTCAATGACTACAGCTAGTGGAGTAATTGTTTTGTGGAATTCAGCTTGCGGGTGTTCTACTCTGTACGGCTGACGTCTTCTTTAAGACCAAATAAGGGTTAAAAAAGAAGGCTCCAGTAGTAGGTGATGTGGAAGACCTCTGCCTGAGACCTTGGAGAACTGCTGCCAGTCGGAGCAAACAACACTGACCTTGATAGACCTGACTTAGTATCAGGCAGCTTCATGTGTTCAATTTTAGTGGGATGAGAAAATGTATTTATTTTCATTATTTATAGTCCACCTTTTTCACTTGGGCTCAAAGCAGATTACACAGAATGAGCCAAAGTATTTATTGTCCTGAAGTAAGGCAGAATGCTTAGAAAAGGGGCCTTGCCGGTGTTTGAGAGTCTATGGCGTTCTGATGGATTCATGAACAGCTGTTGTGTTCAAGAATTGTCCCGTGTAATTTGAAACAAGCTGGGTGTGACCAACAGACATGCTGAAGCAGGGAGTGTGAGGTGGTGGATGGAAACAGGGGAAAGATGTAAAAGAACCTTTGAGGGAAGCAGGTTTATTCTCTCTCTCTCTCTCTCTCTCTCTCTCCCTCTCCTATCATCATCCTTTCACCCTATCTCCCAGGAATGAGGCTGATGTATATTCATGATGACTCCGACAGCCTAGCTGATGCCTTTGCAATACAGCTATCAGATGGGAAACATAAAGTGTCAAAAACCATTTCGGTAGAGGTCATTCCAGTTAATGACGAGAAACCAGTGCTGAGCAAGTAAGCCACATGTCCCTGTTCCAAATTGGTCATGTGTCCTGACAAAATGATTCAGCAGTGATCAAAACAGCAAATTAGTAATTAATAGAGCTAATCTCCTGTAAATAACCACAGGCTAATGCCGACAGTGTTCCACAGGAGCAGTCCTTAGTGAAGGACATTCCGCTATGTGGAACGAGGGAGAAAAGTAGCCAATAGTGAAATGGAGATAAATATGAACAGATACACATGATATGTATGGGCTATGTGTGTAAATATTATAGTTAAATGCAACAAGTTCTTTCTGGATTTCTGTTGAAAGATTATTTCAAAGCAATCATGATCTTTGCACACCTTCTGGTGGTCATTCTGCCTTCGGGGCCTGACCCTCACAATGTGGTGTCGTTAGCTGTAAGGACGAATCTCAGAATCCTGTATTTTGCAGCAAACTGCCTTTGCAGAACAGACAGTAGAAGGTACAGAGAAGAAGCCTCTGATAGAATGAATGGAAGGCATAGTGACAAAAAGAGAGAATGGGGATAAGAAACAAGCAGAGACTAGACTGAGTCTTCCTAGGAATTTGCGTTATCCTATCCAATGTGGAACTTGCACTGTAGTGGAAGAAATGGTAAACAACAACAGGCATTCAAGAACGAAAGAAATTTAGTGCAAGCACAGCTGGCTTTATAATTTTGCAGGCTCTACTAGCCAACTTGGCTGCATGTATAAATATACAGGTGTATCAGTTTTGTACTGAATAACCCATTGCAGTTAAAAGAGAGAAAGAGATTTTGCGTGGTCTCAGACTAGGACCATTTCCTACAATTAAATTGTTGCAGTTTCTGCACAGGCTGCATGTAGAATTACAATAAAGGATCCACACGTGGGTGGATATTGCCATCCATAGTTTTCTTTTAGTTTAAACTGATTAGTGCTATTATGTCGTGACACCAGAAATATCACTTAATGGTAGAAAAGAAGATGGCACAAGTCAATGGCACAATAGCAGCCACACCGCCAGTAGTTTGAAGGCTGATCATTGGAACTGTTTTCCAGCACACCTCAAAATACAGGTCATCCAGAGAATATTGTGAAATGGTAGCACAAAGAGTGGCTGTGTTTCTGTTCTGGCACAACATCCAAAAACAAAACAAACAAACAAAAACCTCAAGAAACCAGCTCCTTGAAAAAGTGGGAAGATAAGGGAAAAAGGGGGGAAGTGTTGATATCGTCTAGAATCCCTATTATAACTGCCTGTAGAAATGGTGGTAATTAACGATACCACACTTGATAGTGTGGAAACCTGAGTTCATCTTGTTGCAGACTTCGCTGTTCAACTCCATTTCCATAACCTAGTCTTGCATTTGAAACGTGTAGGGGAAGAGGGTGTTGTGTTCTTTGAGTATTTCTTCTTCCTGTCCAATTTCCCCCCTCCTTTTAAACAAAGGAATACATGTGGACTCTTTGTTTCAGGAAAGGTGAAATAGAGGTGAATATAGGGGAAGCCCAAATTATTTCTAGCGCTGTTCTGTCAGCTGAAGATAAAGACACCCCTAGGGAACAAATTTACTTTTTATTTGAAAGAGTCCCCGAAAATGGACATCTTCAGCTCAAGGTCAGTCTTTATATTTCAACAACAATAACAAAACCCAAATTGCTCACTTGTGTTAGAACGGGAGTGAGTTTAATCCTTCTCTTTCCTAAATATATTTTATGGCTTGAAATGCACTGCAAAGACAAAGATAATTTTCATTTTGGTCCTCATAATAATCCAATGTTGGATGTCCCGTTCTCATTAGAGTAACTGCTGCCAGCAGGGTTCTTTCAGAGGAAGTTGTTCACAGAAAGTATACTTCATCCTGGAGGCATCCTACTGTGTTCTTCTTTTAGTCCGTCTGCCTAATATGGATCAGACTTACGTTTTGTTGGATCCAGATGATTATCATAAACTCCAATGGCTAACACACAGAGCTTATCAAGTCCCATTCCTAACAACAGATGCAACAAATTTGTTGACATCCACCCTAAGCTCCTTGGAAGAAGGGCAAAATGAAAATGAATAGATAGAAGTTTGCTCACCTTCCACAGGAATAATTTGTAGACAATCTGGTTAATAAACTGTATGTTATTTTATTTTAGTAACAGTTTTTCTTTCTAGGTCGGTCATGACTGGGTGACCCTGCAAAATGGAATGAAGTGTACCCAGGAAGACATAGACATGAACTTTGTGAGATATGTACACACTGGAGCAGTTGCCTCAAAACAGCATGACGATTTTATGTTTCATTTGTGGGATGGAGACAACAGATCCCCAGTCATGGTTTCCGATATTACCATTAAAGACATAGAAAAGGGTAATTCTATTTCTGTTCCTCACATAAACTCCATTTTGTTTTATTGTTTCTTTCTAAACATTAGTTCACACCACAGGCTTGGCAATAAAGGAAGTAAGGCTGCATGAGTAGTTTGTTGGATGGTATCTCCGTGATAGTAACCTATGTAAAAAGTTAAATGATGATATGGTGGCCAGCTCATATCAGGACTTAGAACAGCCCTTGACTGGGACAAATCTTCCTCAGAAGAGAAAGATCATACCACAAATACCACCACAAATGAGAACCAGGGCATGCTGGGACCCCCAGAGAAAAGCTCCAAAATCTACCACTAGAAGTGTCCACCAGAGAATGAGGGAATAAAATCCATTACTCATCCCTGTGACTAATAAAACAGATCCATATAACAGAATGTACCTCAGTTTCCACCAGGGGACAAGACCCAGTTGATGGCCCCCAAGCTGGGTACCTCGCTGAATGGCTCCAACTCCAACACCCCTTATGGGGGCCCAGAGTGGGGAGATGAGCACACAGCCAGTTTATAACACAGTGTCATGATGCACCAACACTAAGGGAGGGTGTTACTCCTCAGCTGAAGCTGGATCTTTGCTAATACTACATGGACTTTAGACTGCTTCATACCTAATAAGTACCTTTGCAGGTTCTTGCAGGCCTGCTTTGTGCTTGCTGGGTCCTGAACTTTTTCTGCTGTCACATCTTTTGGGCACTTCCTTTGCTGAGTTTCACTTATCTATCTTGCTGCTACAACTTACAGAGCTAAACTGAGCCTGCCAGGCAAGATACAGGATGGTTCACCACAAGTGCTGTCCAGCTTTTCCTAACCTTCCTCAGTGTGGCAGTGTACATGACCACTATTAGAGTGAACCAGGTTTAAGTAGGATTTTACTAGCTTCACACATGCACACGGATTGGATGCTATCAAAACAATTGCAGGTTGGGGAGCTGGAGAACTTTCTATTCAGTATATATTATTAAAGGCATGATCATGTCATACTGTTATGCAGGGCTTTTTCTGGGGGAACTCGCTGGAACGCAGCGCCGGAACCTCTTTGACAAAATTATTTTTAAAATGTTTAAAAGTTCATGATTTTTCAGTATTCAGATTGAAAACGTCATTTCCCTCTTGAACGTTCCGGCACCTCTTCTGCCCCCCCCCCCAAATGCCCTGCTGGTATGTACCACATATATGGAACATTTTCTGTCCTTGTCCTTATGACCTTTTCCTAAACAAATTAATATTTTCTTCATGCTTCATGGATCCTGCAGGAAACATTGCAGTTTTTATGAGACCCCTGACTGTGTTGAAGGGTGACAGAGGCTATTTGATGACTGACGTCCTCCATGCGGTTGATGGCACTGAGAAACCAGAGGAGCTCCTCTATGTGATAACATCTCCACCACAGTATGGACAGATTGAACATGTCCACTATCCTGGAGTTCCCATTACAAGTTTCAGCCAAATGGATATGGCAAGCCATATGGTCTGCTATGTCCATAACAGCAAGGCAGCTGCTCCAAGAGATATGTTCAGGTAAGTTCTGAAGAACCTATTATATACATGGTGTATTCTATTAGCAAATTGGTTGGATAATGGGGCAACAGGGTTGCCAACCTTCTGGTGGCGGCTGGAGATCTCCTGGGATTACAACTCCAGGTGACAGAGATCCGTTCACCTGGGGAACATGGCCACTGTGAAAGTGGACTTCATGGCATTATACCCCACTGAAGACTCTACCCTCCTCAAACCTCACCCTCCTCAGGCTCCACCTCCAAAATCTCCAGGTATTTCCCAACCTGGAGCTGGCAATCCTAGGGACAACCATCAATGTTTTCATAGGAAAACTTTATTCTTGCTATGCATACAAAGCTATCTTTGTATGATGCAAGATAAAGATGCTGGTTCACTGCCATTTATTTAAATGTCTATACCCTGCCTTTCAATGCGGTTAACAGTCAGCACTGTAAAATAACTAATAAATATCAATACACAATAAAACACCAAACCATCACACTGCAACAAAAATAGGAATAGCAAAAGTAAAGCAGCTTGAGGCGCACCAAAATAAGATAATAGCCAATTGTCCAGACCAAATGCATACTAAAAAATACAGCATTTTGACAGATGTCCAAAAACAAAGAATCCAATTGCAGCTTCTGGGGCAGCGAGGTCCAAAGATAGTGCCACTGTTTAAAAGGCTCTATCTCCTTTCCACTTGCTGCACCTCACATGGGAGCAGCACATGAAGCAGGGCTTCCAGTGAAGGTATCGGTGCAGTGGAGGTGGGCCTTGAGATACCCCAGTCCCAAACTGTATGGAACTTTGAAAGTCAACACCGTGCTTTGAATTGGGTTCAGAATTGTTCAGTTGGAAGGAGCCATAGGCCAATTATTCCGTCTCCCTACCCAGTGTAGGTATTCCAGTGCTGGATCATCCCTGACAGGTGGCTGCCCAGCCTTGGCTTGAAGACACCCAGTGAAGGAGAGGCCACTCGCCCCACAGGTGGTTGGTTCCATTCTCAAACGGCTTTAACTAAACTCTACCGTGCTGTAACTTTAAACGCATTCGGTCTAGTCTTGCCCTCAGGAGCAGTAGAGAGCAAGCCTTTACACCTTCCTGTGTGACAGCAGTGTGCTTATGTGAAGACTGTATTTATTTGTTCATTTACTTACTTGATTTATAAACCCACTTTTCTCCCTAGTGGGAACCCAAAGTGGCTTGCAAAATTCTCCCCTTCGTTTTATTCTCATAACCAGGGCTATTTTTGGGCAGGGATGCACAGGAACGGAGATACGGCTGGCCAGAATTGTTCAGTTGGAAGGAGCCATAGGCCAATTATTCCGTCTCCCTACCCAGTGTAGGTATTCCAGTGCTGGATCATCCCTGACAGGTGGCTGCCCAGCCTTGGCTTGAAGACACCCAGTGAAGGAGAGGCCACTCACCCCACAGGTGGTTGGTTCCATTCTCAAACGGCTTTAACTAAACTCTACCGTGGCTTGCAAAATTCTCCCCTTCGTTTTATTCTCATAACAACCATGTAAAGTAGATAGATCAAGATGGGTAGCTGTGTTAGTCTGCCTGTAGGAGAAAAGAGCAAGAGTCCAGTAGCGGCTTAAAGGCTAACAATATTTGTGGCAGGGTGTGAGAGCTTTTGTGAGTCACGGCTGACTTTGAAGTGGCTCATGAAAGCTCACGCCCTGCCACAAACTTTGTTAGCCTTTAAGCGTTTACTGGACTCTTGCACCTTTCTGTGTGTAAATTAGGTTGTACTGAGGGTGTGTGAGTGGCCCAGGTCACCCAGCAAGTTTCCATGGCAGAGTGCGGGTTTGAAGCTGGTCTCCCAGATCCTTTATTTAGCCTCACCGCCACGTTGGCACTTCAGCCAGGGATTCTCTCTCAAACCCACTGTATTTTTATACAGTTTGCATTGTCAGCCATGGGTGTTTCTTTTGCAAAAGAACTGTGACAGACGAATATGAGGAAAGAATAAACAGGATAGAGTTGGTCGGGGGAAGTGGACTGGAACCTTCAGTTGAACTTACCCATTCAGCATCCTGTTTGCAGGGCAGCTACGCTATACGGTTGTCAGGATGAACCAGAGTATATGCATTTATAGTTCAGTTCTTACAACTACCTTGACACCTGCTCCTGTTTTCCAAGTAATTATAAGCAGGGGTCATTTCATAGAAAAAGAGGTGAAGGAGCTCATTAGCATAACTTATTAGCATAACATTTGCATATGCCACACCCCCTGACATCACCAGAAGTGTGTCAGAAGGCACCCCCCACCGCTCAGGCTCCACTGGACTGTTTTGGATTGCTAGCTAATGGGGGGGGACGTGCAGATCTGCCCTCACAGAGGAGGGAGAGCTTGTACCTGAATAAAACTTGGTCTTAAAGGTGCCACTAGACTGTTTTGGATTGCTACCTATGGGGGGGGGGACACGCAGATCTGCCCTCACAGAGGAGGGAGAGCTTGTGCCTGAAGGCGGGCTGGGAGGGGGGGGTTCTGTAACTTACCTGGCCTGACTGTGGGCTGCTGGGAGCAGGGGGCAGGGCTTGTTGCATGTGCCTGCCCCCTGGGCTCCTTACTGCCGGAGCTCCACTCCTGTGCGCTCCCGCAGGAAATGACCCCTGATTATAAGAAAGCAAGCTACAATGCAATGCAGCATCTCCTTTGAACAATGAGGCATCAGAATGAAAGTTGATGTGCATGTTCACAAGTGAGGGAGGCATTTCAAACTACTGTACTTTAATAGCTATCAAGGAATAGGGTTGAACTTATTAATTAATTGTATGATGCATGTGTGGAATATTTTGTATGTGTTCTTTTAGTCGGAGTTCGTCCCTGTGCAAGAGATTGTATACTGCGCACACCATTTACGCATCTTGAGCCAGGAAACTCATTTAAGACGTTCTGTTCACTCTGAAACTAACATTATTTGTCCGTGGTGCATGAAATCTATTTTCATTTGATATGTTCTAGTGCAATGTAAAAATTTTTAAATTTGACTTAGTTGAAGGTTTAAAAGCATATAGAGAATTTAATAAAACAAAATATGTGCCCGTTGACAGTGATTTATCAGTTTGTACCCTTCAACTGCAATTTCTTATTTTTAAGTTAAGTAAGCCATTTTAAGCTTTGGGGAAATAGCGGAATTTTTAAAAATGTTAAAGCCAGATTCAGAATATATTTCAGGGCTTTTGTTCCAGTTTAACTAACCTAGTAGAAGAGTGTGTGCATATCACACAGGCATCTATAGTTACACTGGTACAATCCTGCAAATGAAAATGCCCAGGCCGACTGAGGCCAGGCACATTTTGACAGATGATTTTAATGAAAGGAAGATAATGCATGTCTGTTTTAATCATAGTAAATGATGTTCCTGGCTGCTAGGATTTGGCGAAGAATTTGGTTATATATTGAGATATAAATACTGTGGCAGATTATTAAAAAATAAAACACCAATGGCTGGTGACATTTAATTAAATGGGGGTTTTAAATGATCAGATTTTTACCATCCGTTAAGGCACTTTATTCCATCATAAACCTCTAGGCATTGTTTGTTGCTGCTGGCCTGGAAGAGGGATTTGGCAGTGCTCGTTTTGGACAGATGACTTCAAGTGATTAGCAATCTGACATCAGACGCTGGCAGCAGGATGCTAAAAGAACATGCTAATGTCCTCCATTTTGACACACCGGCTCAGTTTTGTAATGAGCTGGCTCTGTCTTGGATTCCATTTTTATATTTTAAATGCCATGACAGATGGTAGGTCCTGCAGCCAGCTCCATCGCCATGGAACTGCAGAAAGCAGGAAAACCTTGGTAATGGTGAAATCAAACCATGTGACTTGCTCTCTTAACTAAGCTTGAGAGCTATTCCCCCTGCCCCCCCCCCCCGCACACGCACACACACACACCACACACATTTCATCAGAGTGATGAGGATGTTGGCTGCTTCCTATTCCTGGGGGAAACACGGGGCAGGACTAAGTGTGAAATAAACAGAATGCTGGAGGAGAGGATCATGGTATTTCCTTGAAACAAGCAACCTCGTTGTCTTGGAGAACCTAGCTATGCACACCATTTTCATGGCAATTATTAGGCTTCCTTTGAAATTTATGGCACAAGCATCTATCCTTATCAGTGGAACTGTTTGCCAGATCTCTTTACTTATTAGAGCTTTGGATCATGATGTCTTTGAACCTTTGCAAAGCAGGAGTCTTGTCATTCAGCAATGGTATTTACACTGTTAACTACAGTCAGCCTTAAGGCGCTTAGGAGTACAAGCTATTATTGTCAGGGGTACCAGAATTCCAGTGGCAACATACTAACTAGGAAAATGTTCTAGGAGGAATCTCTCACCCACAGGCTCCTTGGAAAAGCATGGTCTATATTACACATGATCATTTGCCCCCGCTTTCCCCCAAAACTCTACCTTTCCCTTCACTTCGTACAAGTGAACGGAACAAGAGTCTGTTTTATTTGCTTGTGTGGAACTAGGAAAAGGGTCTGCAGCTGAGAAACCCTTAAGGAGGAAATATGAATTTCCCTCTAATGGTACAAGAATGGATAGAATTAATTTTTGCCTATGGCAACAAAGCAGCCTGACCCCAACCCTGCCCTTCGTTACTGTTCTTCATCTTCCAAAATCCTCAGAATGTTTTTGTGTATTCCTGAACTTTCTGTTATTCCAGCTGAAGATCTGATACAACTAAACTAATGACAGGACATCCGTTATCCCATTGGCACAAGTGTTAGGTCAGTGCCGACAGCTGCTGCAGTGTTCCCAGAGGGGAATACTGCCTTTCAGTAAATGTATTCCTTACTTCTATAAAGTGTTTGGCCTGCCTACTGTCATTCCCATCTGTCTGATGGCATAACGCCTACATGCAAGTTGGTCAACTCCTAATCATCAGTGGAAGAGAGAGTTATTTAGGATGGTAGCCCGGACTGCGGTCGTTTCTTTGATCTGAAGGTTACAGACTGTACTGCTGAATGTCATTAATCAAAAGAAGGTACCTAGACTCAG